GCTCGGTTCAGATGCTCTCATTTGGGTGCATGGCGGAAGTGGAGATGCTCTCATCAAGGATCTGTGGACATACAATGTGCCCACAAGATCTTGGACACTCATTTCTCAAAGCAGTGTCTCGCCTTCAGAACGCAAAGACCATGTGATTGCATGGGATCCAATTGAGGGTGCTCTTTGGATTCACGGCGGCTCTGATGGTAGTAAATACCTCATGGATTTGTGGAAGCGAGATTCGGGCAACAGTTCCTGGACTTTGCTCGCTAACAGTTCGGTAGACGGCCCCAGCGCACGCAGTGACCATGTGGCTGTTTGGGACTCTGCTAGTTCTGCACTGTGGATTCATGGTGGATATGACGGTGTGACTCTGAGGCAAGACATTTGGAAATTTGATTCTCAAGGGAGCAACTGGGAACGCATTGTGGACATTGATCCGCCTTCTGCGAGAGCTTATCACGTGGCTGTTTGGGATGAAAGAAAGTCCGCTCTTTGGATACATGGCGGATATGATGGAAGCCCTTTGCCAGAAAAGGTGGTGGAGAACGGGCCAGTAGAGCCCAGTAGATCCCAACGAAACTTTTCGTGCACAGAGAGACAATACAATTCAACCATATTCAACCTATATTACCAAACTTGAGGCTCAGAGAAACGCCAGTCCAGGCTGGTCCTTCCGAGAGTGGAAGGACTGAAAGGTTATGCGTGGCAGGTAGCCGGTCTTAATCAGGATCAAACGTAATGTTGACCTGAGATTAATAAAGTACCCCAGAATAATGTCTTTTTTTTGGGGAGGGGTAGTTGTAGTGGGTAGCTAAGTAATGATTCCTTTCATTTTAGTATTGCCAGAGTAGCTCCAGAGGTAGCTAGCTAAGGATTCCTTATTTATTTATCAATTGATTGGTTTTCTAGCATATTGTTCTGGAGACTTCAATTGTTGAGGGGGGGGGACCCCGGGGGGGGTTTATTAATCTGGAGTCAACATTATCAATCCGTCATCTCCAGCATGGCAGGTAGCTTGATATATTTTCATCTAGACCACACAGTGAGGTCAAATGGTTCTTAGAACAAGTGTCCACATCAACGGGTGTCACCTCAAGTAGTCCAGGAGCGTCCTTGATGTTCTTGCACGACTAAACGGTCGGCTAACGCGTCACGATATCTCGAGGCTTTTGCAGAGATGTGTGGACATTCGACAGCAGTGGGCAGAAGTGGAAGCTTGTCTCTATGGATGGTCCCTCTGCCAGGGCGTACCATGCAGCTGCGTGGGACCCCATGAATCTGGCGCTTTGGATTCACGGTGGCTTTGATGGTGTTGCTCGCCGAGACCTTTGGAGATTCAGCACCTTGAGCCACACATGGGACCTCATGGCAAACGAAGGGCCTTCGCCACGCTACAATCACGTGGCGGCGTGGGATGTGACCAGCAGCTCCTTTTGGGTGCACGGCGGCTATGATGGGAGTACTTTAAGAGATCTTTGGCAGTATGAGTTCACCACAACAAGTACTACGGTCACAACATCAAGCACTGTCACCTTTACCGTTGTCACATCTTCCAGCACACTTACTACAACGTACACGGCCACAAGCACCACCTCACAGAGTAAAACAAGAACATCCACCACTACCACCAGTATCAGCGCCACCAGTTCTACTTCTGTTTCCAAGACGGCAACATCGAGTGGCCTGTCAAATTCAAATACAATTCTCAGCAGAACAACGACAAGCGTCACGATGTCCAGCCCAACATCAAGCACAATGACCATGTCCAGCTTCACGATCTCACCGCTCAACCAAACTACCTCATCCTTCACTTCTTCCAGATCTACCTACAGTACGACAAGAAGTCGTCTAAGCTCAACGACCACGTCTACAACTCAGCTTTCCGAGGAATTTGTGGCTGCAGAGTTTCCTTTTGGTCCAGTTTTTGGATTTGTATTCATAGGAGCCCTCCTTCTCAGCTCCTGCTTCATACTCAAGTACTGCAACTTCAAGCCAAAGACCATCGTCACGCAGCTGCCTCCAACCCCAACAGATGTGCCATGTGCCCCCCCGGGCTCCTCCACCAAATCTTCCAGCTGTCCCTCCGCAGTACCTGCCCGAACCACCACCATACCCGTTCGGCTCGATCGGGGTCCCACCAACGGCATGCACAAGTCCTTCTCGCAATGCACCCCAAGTTTATATGGACGGCGATCAATTGCCAGTGGGCAGCGTGGGAAGCATGGGATCCGGTGTTGGCTTCCAGATTGAATGTGCTAATCGGTGGCGCCGCATGGGCAAATGAGAGATGCATATTGACATTGAGATATTATTGAGGTGTTAGCCTAATAATTAATTGTCGTTGAATCAATTCTGTGGTGTGTGGGCTTAAGGCCCAGTTATGCCAGTGAATGCCAGCAAAGCCCCAGCTATGCAGCACAAGTGTGCAATATCCTGAACCTAGTGTTCGAAACCCAAAGCCTTCTGTTTGACGACTTTGCTGACCAAAATCCATGCGAATGTATGCGAAACATGTATGGCGATAGACGGAACGGGCGCCCTTGCGCCCTTGCTGTCGATGGACAACCGGAGGGAAAAGACGAGTCGGTTTGCCTTCGACTAGCTGACTAGCGGTTGAATTGAGCTGCATGATGGTGTAGTGAACCCTCGGTAATCTTTTTGGTGCAACTGCCTCTTTTGCTCCTTTTATATATGCGACATGTGGGCTGGGCAGCCCAGGATTCCTTGGTGGCAGAGGGCGGCCAGTGTCCTTGCGGCAGGTACAACGAACGAACCATGAAAGTGAGGCGCATCAGCATTGGTCTTCTGCCTGTCGTGTCCCAAGCAGCGGGCTACACGCCGCGTTGGTTCCAGATGGTAAACTTCTGAACACTGTATGTGACTGGCGGTCCTGTTATAGTTTTGTTCTGGTTTTCCACATGCTATAGTAACTTAGTATGAAGGTAAGGATAGATCAAAGATAGGCAACCAAGAATACAAGAGTCATAGTCACTCAGCACCTCAGCAAGAGCACTTTTTCGATGGTGTTTCGAATGGTGTTTGCTGTCGTTGGCTGACAAGTGTTTCTTTGTTTGTCCTTTGTTTATGCCCTTGTCGTTTTCCAACATTTAGCCAGGCTTTTTGATTTGAGGTACGGTACTTGGATGACCTCACATACCAGAAACATCAGCAAAGCTATTGTTTTGACTTGTATATGCGTTACCGGACATTGTCAGCCGACCGTCCTTTTGCAAGAGTCAAGGAATCCATGTGACCACTCAAAAAGATTGGTGTTGATTCCAAGGCATTTGCTAGCCATCTGAGGCCTCTATGGTTCCACCAACATGGTTCTGTCTTTAGGCCTCAGCACATAGCGATTTTGGGATTGGGTTGTGGGGCATGGTTTCAACACCTGATAATAGTTGTCTTGGGCAAGCAGCAAAAAACATATTACATTTACAAGAACCGAGCACTACTGTAATTGAATTCCTTTGATTCAATGGAAATAGCTGCACTTGTACAAGTTTTAGCCATTGGAAACATGTGTGCGCAGTAAATGACCGTGGATGAGAGTATGGACACACACACATAAACAGGGGCAATGCGGAACGTTACCCTCACCCTGCTCCAGTGTACAATATTCTCAGCAGTATTCTCAGCTGCTGGGACAGTTAGTGCAGGCGCTCAAAGCACTCAAATCAACGGGATCGTGTCCTACTTGATGTGTCAATTGTTTAAACATGTTTAAACTTGAGGGCATGCAGAAAAGTTATTTATATATCAGCAACCACGTTTATTCATTCTTGACTAAAGTAGTCTACCGCATGCTCTATTTTGCTCAGTATTCGCTGGTGAACGAGACAGGGCCCCCCACATAAACATACAAAGACACGATTGATTTTCATGACACTACAGTAGTCTGAGCGAGATACTGTGATTTGCAACTAAGGTAGTCTGAACGAGATACTGTGACATGACCTCCTACTTCAGTAGTCTAAATGAGATAGGGCCCACATATAATAGAGTTTAGTAATGAATCAATGCCGCCGCGCAGATCAGAAACAAGAGGTATGAAGTTCCTGCGTGCTGCCTTTTGAGAGCTCACTACAGAACGTCAGAACGTAGCTGTAGTTTGGTTGTATTCTTGCTCCTCAATGTTGACACCAGATCAGCAAACCACCAAAGATGCACAGGTGTGAACAGGTGTCACCGAAGTGAAACCAATTCGACAAGGCAAAAATTGCATTTGCGACCGACGGAGAACGTTGACACCTGCAAATGAAGAACAATACGTTTGCAATGCTAGTTTTTCGAGGAGGAAGATCTGGTAAGTTTAAGAATGCAGAAGAATGGACCGACCTGCTTTTGGCCACTAGAGACTTTTGTTTTTCCATCACAGGTGTGGGAACCACATGGCTGTTCAAAGCTGATTAGTCTTTTCCAGCGTTCTTTTAGTTTTTTGTTGTAGCTCAGCTATGGTAGAAGCAATGTGTTTTTTGAAGAACCCTGGATTTATAGTGCGGTAGGTGAAGGAAAGCAGGTGCTATGAGTGTTAATGCATCAGTGAAAGGTCTCTTCTGAGAATAGATGTGTGAACTCTCAGGGTGGCTGCTAGCTGCTAGCGTTATTTGCCGACTCCACAAGGGGTGATCGTCTGCTGAGCGTCGATGTTGGACATCCGATTCCCGGTGGCCGTCAGGCGAAGCGGCGAAGCGGCGAAGCTCCAGCCCGCTGTGACGTGGCCGTCCCACATGGCTCTTTTAAGCTTTGCTGTCTTGGACTGACGAAGCCTTGACCCGGGGTTTAAGGGTCTGTGACGTTGCTCTTCCTCGCTATATAATGGAAGGATGATGAATGATGTATGATTTTCCTTTAGTGTTGGGCTAGTAGCTATCAGTTCGTGTCTACATCAGCTTGGTGAAGCGGAGAAACTTGTCAGGATTGCACCCGAAGCCGTTTCACCGCTCAGTCAGGATGATGTCCTTTGTAATCTATGTAGAGTTAGGACATTGTAGCTTTAGGATCATATGTGCAGGAATTCAAGACTCGAGTGGCTCGTTCTGCTAAACATCCTGGCCGCAACACTTGCTACCTGGACTCTGGTCACAGAAGATACCGGCCCATCTCCACGGTCTGTGCATGCGGCAGCTTGGGACAGCAGCAGTCAGCGTTTCTGGATTCATGGCGGTAGTGGAGAAGCATTCCTGAACGATCTGTGGACCTTTGATCTCAGAAGCAATTCCTGGAACTTGCTTCCTGACAATGGTAGGACGCCTTCCGGTCGGGAAGATCACGTAGCCGTTTGGGATCCTGGCGGGCAAGCCCTTTGGGTTCATGGTGGGTTTGATGGCACCAACTTCCTCAGAGACGTCTGGAAGTATTCGGGCAACAGCTGGTCTCTAGTGGCAGACAGCTCCTCGTATGGCCCTGGTGCCCGGGCTGATCACGTGGCGGTGTGGGATGCAAGCAGCTTTGCCCTTTGGATTCATGGAGGATACGATGGAGTTTTGCATGATGACTTGTGGAAGTTCGACTCGCAAGCAGGCAGCTGGATTTCCATCTCCATCAGCAAGGTGCCTTCTGCAAGAGCATACCATGTTGCTGCCTGGGACGAAGCAAATTCGGACATTTGGATTCATGGTGGCTTTGATGGCGGCCCCTTTGGGTGCAAACGAGGGAGTACGTTTGATTTGTGTGTTGTGCGTCCCCCCCATTGATTCTTTTCGGAGCTGATGTTGCGTACCACACACAACGCAAGTTGTCATTGTTTTGAGATTGTAAGCTTCAAAAGAAACGAACTGCATCTAATTGCATATACATGCATTACAGGCTTTACAAAGGTAGGGTAAATGAGAATCCCTCAATCCTTGACCAGGCCTTTGCAGAGATATCTGGAAGTTTGACACAACGGCCTTTAGCTGGAGCCAAGTGTCAGCTGATGATGGTCCCTCTGCCAGAGCTTATCACGTAGGTGCCTGGGACCCCTCTGGCCTTGCCCTTTGGATTCATGGTGGATTTGACGGAATAGCTCGGCGAGACGTCTGGAGGCTCAACACCTTGACTTCCAGATGGGAATTGCTGCACGACAGCAGTGGACCCATCCGTCGTTACAACCATGTTGCGGGCTTTGATGCAAGAAGTCAGTCCTTCTGGATCCATGGTGGTTATGAGGGCAGCACGCTACAGGATTTGTGGCGGTTTGACATCACGACAACAACAACGAGCATAACGAGCAGCTCTTCCACATGGACCACCGTCACCCTCAGTACCAGTTCCACTACCTTCACCACATCCAGAAGCAGCACCTCAAGAACCACATCCAGCACAAGCAGCAGCACAAGAACGAGTTCCAGCTCAAGCACCACCACACTCACAACAACCAGCTTCTCCAGTACAACCACCACCTCTTCAACCAAGACCGCAACGACAAGCAGCTCTAGCACACACAGCAGCTCCCTTACATCGAGTACCACTAGCTCCACCCACACCAGTAGTACCAGCACTGTGAGTAGCTCTAGCACCACTACAACTTCCAGAAGCTCAACAGTCTCAAGCTCAACCAACACCACCAGGACAACGAGCACGTCCACCACGAACACGACCATGTCTACCAGTCTTTCAAGCACTTTTACCACCTCCAGCCTCACCTTCAGCAGCTCTACCAGCAGTACTCTCACAAGAACCTCGCGCACCAACACGTCCACAACTGTCACAATCTCCAGCTCAACGTCCAGCACAGTGACCGTTTCGACATCCACCAGCAGCTCAATAACGAGGAGCTCTGTAACCAGCAGCTCTGCAACACAGACACGAACCAGCACCAGCTCCTCAACAAGAACTTTGACAACCTCAACCAGCAGCACTGCGACCACAACGACCACCACACCCGAAGATTTGACAGCAATGCTGGTGCTTTGTCCGACTCTTGGAGTTGTAACTCTTGGAGTTTTGGCTGCAATGGCTTGTTGGGCATACAAGCACTGCAGGTGCGAGCGAGTTCTCATTGTGCCGGCGGGTGCACCACCCGCACCACCGCCCCAATGGTGGCCACCTCCACCTCATGCCCATCATCACGCACATCCACAGTCCGGGTGGCTTCGGCCTCCAAATCCGGCACCAACAGCCTCGCCTGCTCCACCAACATTGACATCGCGCCAGAACACGCAACTGCTAAGTGCACCACCCGATCCTCAACCGGTGAAAGCACCGCCAAATCCTCACCTTCAACCTCTTTTGCCAGACCTACATGTGTTTGAGCCACTCACCAATCCACCACTTGAGGTGATCATAAAGATCGAAGCCAATACGTTTCAAGAGGCTCCGCCTCAAGATGTTGCTGCCAGTGACACCAAAACATGTTCAGTGACATTCCAACTGGCTCCAACAGCTTTGGTTGAAGGGCGAGTGGTACTGCCCCGAGTGCCAGGAGACACAATGACAGCACCAGTCCTTCGTCTTGCTCCTCCAGGCGCAAGCATCACGAGGCCATTTTTGACGCTGCCAGCACAGCAACCGCATCCAGCAGCTGGTCCACAACAAGATATCGCTCGCAGAAAGGGGGTGGCCTCATCCAGATTCGCGTTTGAATTACCAGACTTGTGCAAGTGTCGGGGGAGAATGATGGATGAGGCCTATTGCAGTCCTGCATCCCCAACCCCCCAAGTTGTGCATGTCCCGCACATTCTGTTGGGTCCCGCACCAAGCATCTCAGCAAGGTTGACATATGAAGTACTCGCTGCTACTGATGCTTTGCACCCACGGTGGCTGGGCGAAACAATGGTGGCACCTGTCTTGGAAGTACCCAGAAGTGGCTCGCACACTGCGGGGGTTGCCACGGTGGTGCCGCCGATACCAGATGTACTTCCTCCAGAGTTCTTGTATCGCAAGGAGGAGGTGGCCATATCCCCAACCCCATCAACAGCCTGCTGTCTCAATCACTTGTGTGCGAGGAAGCCAAGATGTGTTGAACAAGCTGATCAAAATGTGTCAGATTTGATCGAGGTCTTAAGGTACCTGGAGCAAGGTTGTCCCAGGATTCCCCCGTTCCCTTCAGATGGTGGTTTGCCCATGATCATGCCACACAGATCCGCATTTCCACCAATGCGAAGACCACGACATCCATTTGCAACGCCACCAGCACCTGTGCTGGAAGCGCCCACCGCAAATCCAGTGGTCAAAGCGCAGAAGGAGCGAGAACCTGAGGCTCCAGAGGTGGCGAGAACCTGGGCCTTCCGGAGGCGCAGGGCGCCTTTCAGACCATGACAGCGAAGAGATGGACCCACTCGATGCATCAGGTACGGATCGATGGGATGCGGTACTCGGAGTACTGAGCTTTGCTCCTCCCTTTTCGAGCTGCACAAAAGGCATCAAAGAAATGCTTCGGCCGGCAGCTTGAAAGGTCCCCAAAGACCTGCAATCCACCCGAGGAATCATGCTCTCTAAAACGGAGAGCTTGCAGGGACACAACTGGCAGAGGCAGAGAAAATTGAGTTTTGTCTTGTGGACTGGAGCCTGTCCAGGGTAATTATGTCCCAAGCCAACCGAGCAGAAGAGGTGTTGTCATCGTCATATTTGCAGATCGCAGAACATCATAGAACATCATAGAACTACTGGCAACTTGATGTCGAAAGCGCACTTGCCACTTCAGTGATCTTCAGTGCATATCAATCTTCATCATGATGCGAGTGTTCTGTGTTGAATCAACGATGAGAATCATTCTCGCAGGCTCACATCAAGCCTCGCGGATGAGTTTGAAAGAGACGCAGTGTATATAACTATGACTATGATTAATTACGTGCTACCAGCCAGCCTCATTCTTTTGGAAATACCTCCAAGTAAAACATGCCAGACTGAGGTCAGTTCCAATTTGCTTCAGAATCATTCGACTGTGAGCCGAGACCGGACCCGACCCGGACTGACAGCTCCAGAATCGCAAGGAGCCTTCATGTTTATGTTCCAGATATTTTAGTGCTGGAAAAGTTCTAGGTCATGCTGGAAAATGCCTGAAGCCAGGTTCCTTCTGCAGACTGTGAAATCAGGAGGAAGGCGTGTTCTGGTGACTAGGTCAATCGGAAAAAGAGCAATCTTATGTATGTTCAATGCAGTAAAAGAAAGAACTGTGAATCTTTGACACGTGAAATTCTTCTCGGAATATCACAATGGAGCAAGGTTGAGGCATTTTTTTAGATCTTTTTGGTTGTTCATCACATGCTTTGAACCAGAAGCCGTTTCACCACTCAGAAGCTGGAGGCCATGGACGGTCCTGATGTGGCCTCGGGCAGTGGCTTGTGATTTCAGGGGCACATGTCGAGAAGCTCCAGGTTTGAGCGGCTTGTTTTGTTGAATGCTTTCGCAGCAACACATGCTATGTGGACTCTTGTGACCAATGACACTGGTCCCTCTGCGCGTTCAGTGCATGCGGCCGCTTGGGACAACATTGGCCAGCGTTTTTGGATTCATGCCGGCTGCGGAAAAGAACTTCAGAAGGATCTTTGGACCTTTGATTTGGGAAATGACTCCTGGAACTTGCTTCCTGACAATGGTTGGGCACCTTCCAAGCGCGAGGATCACGTAGCCGTTTGGGATTCTGGCAGACAGGCCTTGTGGGTTCACGGTGGGTTTGATGGCACCAACTTCTTCAAAGACCTCTGGAAGTATTCGAGTAATATTTGGACTCTGGTGGCAGACAGTTTGGCATTCGGCCCTGGCGCTCGAGCTAATCACGTGGCGGTGTGGGATGCAAGCAGCTCTGCCCTTTGGATTCATGGAGGATACGATGGAGTTTTGCATGATGACTTGTGGAAGTTCGACTCGCAAGCAGGCAGCTGGATTTCCATCTCCGTCAGCAAGGTGCCTTCTGCAAGAGCATACCATGTTGCTGCCTGGGACGAAGCAAATTCGGACATTTGGATTCATGGTGGCTTTGATGGCGGCCCCTTTGCATGCAAACGAGAGTGCGTTTGAATTGTGTGTTGTGCTTCCCCCCCCATTGATGCTTTTTGGAGCTGAGGTTGCGTACCACACACAAGCCAAGTTGTCATTGTGTTGAGATTGTAAGCTTCAAAAGAAACGAACTGCATCTAATTGCTGCATATACATGCATTACAGGCTTTACAAAGGCAGGGTAAATGAGAATCCCTCAATCCTTGACCAGGCCTTTGCAGAGATATCTGGAAGTTTGACACAAAGGCGTTTAGCTGGAGCCAAGTGTCAGCTGATGATGGTCCCTCTGCCAGAGCTTATCACGTAGGTGCCTGGGACCCCTCTGGCCTTGCCCTTTGGATTCATGGTGGATTCGACGGAATAGCTCGACGAGACGTCTGGAGGCTCAACACCTTGACTTCCAGATGGGAGCTGTTGCTAGACAATGGGCCCGTTCAGCGTTACAACCATGTTTCTGGTTATGATGTCACAACTAGCTCCTTTTGGATCCATGGTGGCTATGAGGGCAGTGCCTGCTGCACCGTGCAGCAGGATTTGTGGCGGTTTGACATCACGACAACAACAACGAGCATAACGAGCAGCTCTTCCACATGGACCACCGTCACCCTCAGTACCAGTTCCACTACCTTCACCACATCCAGAAGCAGCACCTCAAGAACCACATCCAGCACAAGCAGCAGCACAAGAACGAGTTCCAGCTCAAGCACCACCACACTCACAACAACCAGCTTCTCCAGTACAACCACCACCTCTTCAACCAAGACCACAACGACAAGCAGCTCTAGCACACACAGCAGTTCCATGACCTCATCAACCACGTCAAGCAGATCCACTACTCTGACCGCAACCAGCAGCAGTAGCACTGTGAGTACTTCCCGCACCACCATTACCACTACAAGCACCACCATCTCGAGCTCCCTGACTAGTTCTAGCACACGAAGCAGATCAAGCACGACGGTGACCAGCACAACAGTGACCACTAGAACAACAAGTAGTTCCACCTTGACAAGCAGCTCTGTTACTGAAACATTTACAACAGCCACAGTCACAACAACTGCATGTCCAGAATGCGCCATTGATCTTTCACTCGTGCTTTGTCCAATCCTTGGAGTTGTAACTCTTGGAGTTCTGGTGGTGATGGCTTGTTATGCACGCAAGCACTGCAGGTGTCGGCGAGTTCTCATTTTGCCGGCACCAGCAACTGCACCGCAGCCCCGGTGGCCAGATCATCCACCACCGCCACCCATGCATTTGCAAATCTCCCTACCTCCGCCCTCACCTCCACCACCACCACCACAGCTGTACGTCATCCAACAGGAACCTCCACCTCCACCAGCACAGCTTTACGTCATCCAACAGGAACCAATGCCAACTAAGTTGACAACTCTAGATCCTGGTCAAAGACCTGTTCAGATTGTCACGGAAGTGGAATTGGGGATTGGAGCTGCGCATGTTGAAGCTCAAGAGAACGAAGGCATATCACACAGGCCACCACAAGGACCGACACAGTTGGTAGGCCCTTGATACCAGCAATCCAGCTCACAGATTCACAGAGGACAGTGATTTACGTGCGGGAGTGATGCGAAGAAGCTGGACAAGTCAATGCACACACACACACACACTTGCACTGGAAGTGCTAGGTGCAGTTGGTACATAAGAGCTGAGTGAAAAACAAGCATAATTTCATGTTATATAAATACTTTCTTGTTTCAAATTGAGCAATCATGGGTATCAAAGAAATACCCTGTAGTCGTCGGGTGTAGTCGCTACTAGTCAGATTCTTGCAGCTGCATAGGTTCTCACGGTTTCTGAGGATTGAAAAGCAGCCAAAGATTTCGCATGATTTCGCGATCCTTAAAGGATGATACTCTCTAAAACAGAGAGCAGACCAGATGGCAAGCAGCGAGGAAACCTGCAGACCACTCTGTCCCCGCATAACATCTTTCAGGCCTTCGTACCCTTGCACAAAGGTATGGACAGGTTCTCAACCTTGTGACTTGTCTCTTTGACTCCTTGGTGATTCTCGTTTAACATGTTTAATGATGGCGAAAAGACTCACAAGACTGACGCCTGTTGAAGAGAACAATTTCTGGCACGACAGGTATGCTTAGCCAGTGGCGTGCCCCCAAAATGGCCTGCTCAATGGTGTGAGCGCAGGCTAGGCTAGGCTTTGTTTTTGGCAGTCACACATGTCTGAAGGTGGTTGGCTAAAGGGAATTGAAGTCACTGAAGCTTCTTTCTTGTCGGTGAATTGCCGTGCGGAAATCATTTGCACCCGGAGCCGTTTCACCGCTCAGCCGATATCATTTGTGGTAGAGTTAGGAAATCAATGGACATCATAGCTTGATGTCCGTATGTGCAGGAATTCAAGACTCGAGTGGCTCGTTCTGCTAAACATCCTGGCCGCAACACTTGCTACCTGGACTCTGGTCACAGAAGATACTGGCCCATCTCCACGGTCAGTGCATGCGGCAGCTTGGGACAGCAGCAGTCAGCGTTTCTGGATTCATGGCGGTAGTGGAGAAGCATTCCTGAACGATCTGTGGACCTTCGATCTCAAAAGCAATTCCTGGAACTTGCTTCCTGACAATGGTAGGACGCCTTCCGGTCGGGAAGATCACGTAGCCGTTTGGGATCCTGGCGGGCAAGCCCTTTGGGTTCATGGTGGGTTTGATGGCACCAACTTCCTCAGAGACGTCTGGAAATATTCGGGCAACAGCTGGTCTCTAGTGGCAGACGCAACTGTGCCTGGTCCTTCTGCTCGAAGCAACCATGTAGCAGTATGGGATCCAAGCAGTTCTGCCCTCTGGATTCACGGAGGATACGATGGAGTTTTGCATGATGACTTGTGGAAGTTTGATTCCCCGTATTCTGTTTGGAGGCGCATCTCAAGCTCCTTTGCACCATCAGCGCGAGCTTACCATGCAGCTGCCTGGGATGATACGAATGCTGCCATTTGGATTCATGCTGGCTATGATGGCCGTTCCTCACTCAAGAGAGTCTTTCGTTTGCCTTTGTTCAGCACCACGCAAGTGTTGAAGCAGCACAGCTGTTCTGTTAGGCGGTCAAGTCTTTCAGGGATGGATTAATGGTGGGAGGATGTAGATAAGTTCGGGGTCATTGACCAGATTGTTTCAGGATTTGGAGCTGCGCAGGGGGCATGCTGTGTGTCCCTTAATTTCTTGAAGCTTCCATGTTGAGTACTAATCTGACACCTTTATCCCTTGACAGGTGCCTTACAGGAATCAATTTCAATACATGTCAATCAATTATATATCATCTCAAATCAGATCATACGGTCAATGGCTGGTTTCAACATGTTTCGGTTTCCAACCAGGTTTATGCCGAGATTTGTGGAACTTTGACACGGTCACCGAAACGTGGCACTGGGTCTCCGATCGCGGTCCTTCTGCACGGGCCTACCATGTGGCCGCCTGGGATCCGATGAATCTGGCCTTATGGATTCATGGTGGAAAGGATGGTGTGCCGCGCAGAGACCTCTGGAGATTCGACTCACTGAGTTCTTCATGGTCTTTGATTCACCAGGTGGATGAATATGGGCCTTCAAGGCGCTATGACCATGTGGGAGCCTGGGATACAAGCAGTATGTCACTTTGGGTCCATGGAGGCTATGAAGGCAATATGCTTCGAGATCTTTGGCGCTTTACAGTCCCAACGACCACGACCTTCGCCTCAACTGGAACTCTGACTACAATGGCCCTGACATTCAGCTTGAGATCTCCGGAGGATTCCACTGCGCTTTCGGTGATTTGCCTCTTGGTTGGATTCCTCATTTTTCTGGCTGTTCTTTTGATCTCCGTGTGTGCACTCAAGCACTGCAAAGGCAGTGCACAAGTTGTCGTTTTGCCAACTCCAGCACCGCCGCCACCTCCGCCGCCATTGCCACCTTCACAGCCAGTGGCGGCATGCCCTGACAACTGGACAATCCCTATCGACACGCAGCAAATTCACGCATCCCCCGAGCACTCGAGAATGCCTGCCAACAGTCATCCAACCCAAGCCAACACACAGCCAGTCCATCCATGCCAGGAGTGCTCTACTCAACCTGCCACAACAGTGTCAATCCACACCGGCCATGAGTACTTAACACTCCCTGCCAACACGCAGCCACTCCAAGCATGTTTTGGGTGCGTTACGCTTCCGGCTGACTGGCAGCCAATGACACTGTGCCCCCAGTACGCCAGACTACCGATCAACAGCCAAGTGCTCATTTCACCAGCAGATCCTTCCGCAGCAATTCCAGTGGTACCACCTTCCACCACCCCAGCTCTGGATCTCAGCATTCCGACCTTGCAGCGATTGGCATTCAGTTTTTGCCTTCAATTAGACAGCCCACCATCCATCAAACGAACCAAATCGCTCTTTCTTTATCCAGACAGACCACCACTGCTTGAGCCTTTTCAGACAGAGTGCCCAGCACAAAGAGAATGGATTTTTCATTTGCATGAGCCGCGTAGAACCAGGCAAACACCACAAAGCATGCCAACATTACCCCAGCCAAAGCAGCCAGGACCAACCATGCCGAGCCCTGTCCTTAATATGCCGAGAACGATCATCCCCGACAAGCGCGCACTGGTGGCTCTTCCACTCATGGATCCTCTACCTCAGCAGCCACCTGATCGGCATTGTGGATCGACCATTATAGTTCCCTTTGATTTTTCACAACGCAGAACCGTTCTTCACTCCACGGAGAGACCAGAGGTCCAAGTCTTTGCCAGCCCGTCGCCGCCGTGGCCTGTTCATGAACCAGTTGTGGTTGTGAGACCTTGTACACCAACACTTTCGACCATTCCAAACCTTCCAACCATTCCTGTGGCAAAGCTATTCCAGTTCGACCATTGCGCTTCAGGCATTCCAATTCCCACCTCACAAAGACCGAAAGCTCCAAAGGCAATTCAAAAAGCACCACTTTTGCGCAGACCAGGGAAGTCCAGGGCAAGACAGAGACCGCGATCCCTAACTTCAACACTGGGGGGTCCATGGTGGACCTGTCCAGAGACTCCAGGGCCTGGAGCTTATGATCCAGAGCATCCAGGCATCTTTGGACGAATTCCAGGCCGGGATCCAAGCCGTTTCCAACGTCGCGATGGCCGAGATAGACTGACCAAGAGTCAGTCCTGCAGTCGGATTCTTTAGAAAAAGCTGGAACATGCTGGAACAAAGGATTTTCAAGCTTTCCATGTATATAGAGATGTGAAAGGATGAGAAAATACCTCGTCCTTAGATGTTAATCTCTTCTTTGACAGCAAGCAATTCTTCGGCAAAGAACCAATTTCACATTGATTTGTGCCGAGCTCAGCATGCTGCTAGTCCTCAAGGATAGGGGCAGTGTGGCATTGGAAGTCTTTCCAAGAAGGAGAGAACTTCCTGCCGGCGGAACAATGTGGAAAGATGATGAAAGATGTAGAAAGTCTGGCTGTTGTTTTTGTTTGAAACTCTTGGATTTTGGAGGCATGCCTGCATAGCACTGCCACAAATCACCGACAGGTTTCAAGCCGCAGAGGCAGGTGTCTCCTTCTTCAGACTTCGTCAAGGACGCACAAATCAGGCGTCTAAAGCATCGAACATGGAAGACGCTTTGGATTTGTTTGGTCCCTTGAGTCCCTTCAGCTTTACCAGCGCAAGACGGTCGTCGTTTTTGGGCAGAATGGACAGGACACACACACTGCGGCTTTCTTCATGATCAATGCCTTCGAGGAGAGGGGCTAGTCGGGACAAGGTCCTCGAGTCGATGAAGGTGGGCTCGCCTCGGGTTTTCCTTTTGCCCATTGTTATTGTTTTGGGTGCAGAATGGTGCAGACCATGATGGCGGGATTTATATATGCTATATTATATGGACACCGCCCTCTTGAGGGACCACCCTTTCATATTTCCATGACACTATCTATACTCAATGAGTATTGCTTCCAAATTAAGGAATGCCGCATGCCAAAAAGCACTGTAGCATACAGTAGGAAGCAGAAGATTTAATATGTTACAAAGAAATGCATTCTCAAGGAAAGGGGTATGAATCTATACAAAAAGGTGAAGGCATAAATTTGGCCAACATGTACTCTTCCCATTCTGCTAACGAAAGCCAGCCGATAGGCAAGGCTTGAGGTTCCAATGCGAACGAAGTGAGTAAAGGGGGTGTGGGGGGGAGGCAATCTCGGAGAGGCTGACCCAGAACCTGGTGGGGGAGAGCGACAAAAGAGGTGGCCAGGAGGTAATGAACATGAGTAGTTTTTGGATGTTGTGATGCAAGTGATGTAATTGATGGCGAGCTGTGCATCATTAGCATCACGAAGGAGTCAGGAGGCCATGTAAACTGTCTTTACCCAGGGTGGGAGTGCACGTCGATGAGAGGAAAGGGAAGATAAGGGGACGTGAGAAGTCGGTGGAACTCACCCTATACTTGAGAGCAGGAAAGAGAACAGATTGTTGCTTGAGGTGGGAGCTCACGTGGATGAGGCAGGAAGGTTTTGAATTGCTTGGGGTTGTTGAGGGCAGGAGAGAGAACAGATTGCAGCGGGCAAGCGTTGGAGGCGGAAGGCTTGAGTTGCTTAGGGGTGCCCCTTTTTTATCCGTGGCAAGGGGTAGTTGCCGGACTCAAAAGGCACCCCATATGGGGTGCATGATGCCATCTGTTGAGGGCATGCGAGAGAACAGATTGCAGCGGGTTGAGTTGGCGGAGTGAAAAGGGCACCCCATTTGCGGTGGAAGGAGTTCACGTCGATGAGAGGAAAGGGAAGACAAGGGGACGTGAAAAGTGGTTAGAACTCACCCTATACTTGAGAGCAGGAAAGAGAACAGATTGCAGTTGCGGGCAAGCTTAGCGTTGCTTGGCGCGCCCTTTTTTTAGTTGCCAGACTGAAGAGGGCACCCCCTATAGGGGGGCTGCAATATCAACTTCACCACTTCTTCCCTCTTTCTCCACTCTACCTATATACATATATGTCTCCTCCCGAAAGTCTCCCGATAACCTCACCCCTCGACCCCATAACCACAGTAAGGTTTCGGTCGGTTGGAATCGGTTTGAATGTTTTTCCATCTTCGAATCGGTTCGGTTTGGTTGTGGAAGTATCTGTTCATCGACTTTCGGTTCGGTTCACGGTTCGTTTCGGTTCTGTGATTTATAAGTTTCGCAGTGGGGTAAAGGAAAGAAAGGCAATGATAAAGAGACAAGACTAGACTATAGACCTTGAGAACAAGGGAAAATGGAAAGCAAAAGGAAAGGAAAGGAAAGTAACTATTTTAAGGAAAGGAAAGGAAGGGAAAGCAAAGAAAGGGAATTAAAAGAAAAGGAAAAGCAAGGGGAAGGAATGCAACTTGTGAATATACGTTTTCCAGGCCTTCGAAAAAGTATATTGGAAAGGAAGGCCAAGAAAAGGAAAAGGAAGGACAGGTAAGGTATGCAATTTGTGAATATGCGTTTTCCTGGCAGTCTAAAAAGCATAAAGGAAAGGAAAAGGAAATGGAAATGGGCAGGTGGGAATGCAATTTGTGAATATGCTTTTTCCAGGCCTTCCAAAAAGCATATTGGAAAGGAAACCCAAGAAAAGGAAAAGGAAGGAAAGCAAAGCAAAGCAATGGACAGGAAAAGGAAAAGGAAAAGGACAGGTAAGGCATGCAATTTGTGAATATGCTTTTTCCATGCCGTCTAAGAAGCATACTGGAAAGGAAAGCAAGGAAAAGGAAAAGGAAAGGAACCCATTTTATGAATGCGCCTGAAGCCGGGCCGGGCCAGTGACATGCTGTATGGACATTCCAGTGGCGGACTGCTGCTCTGAAACTCAAGACTTTGGACAGTCTGAAAAACGTCACAGCGGAACAGAGCGGAACGGTTCGTTTTTCTTTTCGGTTCGGTTGTGTTTGGAAAATTGACGGTTGTAATGATTCGGTTGGTGAAAAATTTCGGTTCTTGACATTCGCTGACCTTCGCTTCCGAAAGTTCGGTTCCGAATCGATTCGGGACCCTTCCTGTAACCATCTTTGCTCACTGGTTGGCGCCACACAGCAAGCTACGACCCCTCACTTCCTTCGAGGGTGCCCTTTTTCACCTCCAAAACGACCCCCAACCACGACGAAAAAGGGCACCCCCCCCCGAACCTATGTACTATACTTTCTGTTTCTACCTCCTATGAGAGTGGCTGCGATGTCAACTTCACCACCTAAACGTATGCTTTGCCTGATTTTAGCCAATCACTTCATCTCACGCGCTCCAGTGGCCTCAATATCAACTTCACCACTTCCAGCCCTCTACCTCTATGCATATATGTCTCCTCCAGAAAGCCTGCCGATAACCTCGCCCCTCGACCACCCATAACCATGTTTGCTCACTGATTGGCGCCACACAGCAGGCTACCTTTCTTCGAGGGTGCCCTTTTTCACTTCCAAAACGAGCCCGAACCACGACGAAAAAGGGCACCCCCCCAACCTATGTGTTTTACCTTCTCTTTCTACTCCTATGTGAAACTGAGGTGCTGATACTGGGTTCCACAACAATTACCTTCCAGCGTGTTCTGTTGAGATGGCTATTTTTCAAGAACCCGGTAGGACACCTTACTGCCTGAACAGATGAGCAGAAAACATCCGGGACAATTCAGTCCCAACCCATCCGCCGTTTTGCAGTTGCTCAGTGCGATCGTCACCATGGTTCCAGGGGATATGGCCTTGGCTCCGATGCACGGACCTAGCAGCTGGAGGGGTACCGAGGTCGGGACCTTGAGCGGTCTTGAGCGGTGTGCGGTTGGGCTGGGCGGCCGGGTGGCTTGAGGCGAGAATGAAACGAAGATCTGAACATGTTTGAAAGGATTCACATGTGGAAGTCAGACAGAAGGGGGTTGGAGGAAAGCTAGAAATGTCAAGGAGGTAAAAAGACACGGGAGGTGCTCTCTCTCTGTAATTACAATGTTTGATCAATCCTCTGAGTTGTAAAAAAACAATGGAAATCGAGCTGCCTTTTGAAGCATGCCCTCCATTCAGGTGGTCCTCACTGACGGTCTCGAGGCCGGTCACATATGTCGAACATGATGGACCCTGTGAAACGCGTGTATATATGTCACAAGGATTCATAATGTTCAATAAGATGTCATAAACATCATAAAGGAACCACACAGACTATGGCACGATGCAGTATGAAAACAGTCCCAATGCAGGCACTGGAAGAGCAGTGATTGTCAGTGTACGGTGCGCTGCAAGCTGTTTCAGGGCTCGCACACATACCACAAAAATGCAATGTTTCCAGGGAAAGCTTCATGGCATGTCCGCGGCTCGGGCTTCTTTGCCTCAATTGGCTCCTCACTTCGGTGCGTGCTGCTTGGAGTCCTGTAGTGGACCAAGGAAGACCCCCTGGACGCTCGGTACACGTCGCTGCCTGGGATGCCATAGGTCGACAGATTTGGATCCACGGTGGAAGCCAAAGCGAGTTTTTGGACGATCTGTGGACATACAATGTCGACAACAAGACCTGGGAGCGCAAATGGCCACCAGCACCGGCACCTTCCAAGCGTGGAGACCATGTGGCTGTTTGGGATCCCTGTGAGCCAGCTTTGTGGATTCATGGTGGGTTCGATGGTAGAAGCTTCTTCAAAGATTTGTGGAAGTATTCCGGCAACAGCTGGACCGAAGTGACTGTGGATGGTCCTCAAGAACGAAGTGATCATGTGGCAGTGTGGGATACAGCAAATGGAGCACTATGGGTTCATGGTGGAGACAATGGTGTGACTCTGATGCAGGATATCTGGAAATATGACTCACTCCACAAAGGGACTTGGGTTCTTGTACAAGATGTCACTCCACCTTCAGCCATGGCTCGTCACGCGGGTGTTTGGGATGATAGAAACCTGGCACTGTGGATTCATGGCGGGGATGATGGAAGCTCTTTCTGCTATTCGGAGGCAAAGAGGGACGGTTTTACTTTACGTTTTGGTGCATTTCTGCGGCATGTCGTAACATGGTGTAGCTAGGTTTTAGGGATGTTTGAGATGTGCTCACAACATCGTAAAACAAGATGCCCTTGTATTCAAGCAAGCAATGTACATGGATAAGTGGGAGCCGTACAGATGGACGTGCGCCCGTACAAACAGACCTGCGGATGAACGTGACAACTGCCCTCCATTGTATGCACGGTTGTCTCTGCAAGCCTGATTTTAGTAATAACTTAGTAACGGCACAACACGACCAGAGCAGAAGACAAGCCGTCACACTGACGCTGCCTTTTTTTTGCATGAAGGTTCATGTTTTTTTTGCTTTGCTCAGTTCAGTCACACTCACTTGTACTCAGACAGATTTGGATCCACAGACTCACTCAAATCATCCCATGCATGTAGTATGTACACAGGCATGTACTCGTATATACACATGTTCACACCTGTGTACATGTTCTGATGCTTGAACATAAGAGCTAAACACCCGCAACTGCATGTTTGTATCATTAAGCAAAGGATGTACAGACTTAAGACGTTTCCTTTAAACACTGCACAAATGATGAACATAAATGTGTATACATGCGCGCATCTGCCCGTATGTATATAGACTCTTGCCGACATCATATCTTCTATATAATAAGATATAATAAGTCTAATGGACACAGTCTAAGCCACCACACTGCCTGTCTCAGAATGGCAATTCTCTCAGTTTGTGAACCATCTGTGCCGCACACGCCCACGTCACTTCAGCTCGCTGCCCTCGGAAAAGAAAAGGAAAAGCTGTGGACATACCTGTTTACAATGTGTTGATTTCAGCCAAGGCATATTGAATTTGGTGTTGTGTATGCACAACCTTAGTGCACCTGCCTGTTCTTTTGGGTGTGCTGGAGCTGCTGGTGTTTGGTCAGGTCATTTGGCAGTAACAACCTCAAAGCATCTAAAACCAAAAATATGTTGAAGTTAACAGTGATATTAGTGCAGCAAGTGAAAGCTTCAACAGGAACTGGTTTGTAAGAGCCGAGCACAAAGTAAGGCTGTTTGCAGCAGCTGTGGAGATTTGACACCCAAACACTTCGTTGGAACTTTGTTTCCAACGGTGGTCCAACAGGAAGGGCATATCATACTGCCGTATGGGACGCCATGAATCAGGCCATTTGGATTCATGGTGGGTTTGACGGTCAGGCTCGAAGAGACCTTTGGAGGTTCAGCGTGTTGAGCATGACATGGGAGCTGATTGCAGACCAAGAACTGCCATCAAGGCGATATAATCACGTTGCAGCCTGGGATGTTACAAGTATGTCAATGTGGATACATGGTGGCTATTCTGGATCAAACATCTTGCAGGACTTTTGGAGATTTCGGGCCACCACACTCACCACGACACCCTGTCAGTGCAGCTGCCTTCCTTACTGCATTTGCCACTGTATTCCCCACCAAACAATTGAATGCCCAACAACCACCACAACCAGCACACGCAGTTCCAGCACTACCAGCACAAGATCTAGTTCAAGCACAACCTCCATCTCTATAACTGAGACTAGCAGTACCCTGTCTAGCACCAGCTCTTCCACTACAAAAAACATCCAGTTCTAGTTTCACCTCTAGCACAATCACCACCACAAGTTGCACCACATCCAGCACCACCTTTTCCACCACTACCACATCCAGCTCAAGCTCAAGCTCTAGTACTGTCACGTCTACCACCAGTACCACACTCAGTGCTACAACAACTAGCTCAAGCACCACCTCGAGCACAATCACAGCCACCAGCAGCACCACATCCAGCACTACCTTTTCCACAACTGCAACATCTACATCAAGCAGCAGTTCCACGAGCAGCACTTCTATCAGCAGCACGATGTCTAGCACAACCTTTTCCACAACAAGAACATCCAGCTCAAGCACGGTCTCTAGCAGCTTCTCCACGACCAGTACCACTGCCACCAGCACTACCACACCCAGCACAACCTTTTCCACAACTACTACAGATTCGCGTACAATCACCACAACCAGCGTCACCCACAGCACCAGTACCTCATCCAGCGCTACCATTTCCACAAGTACAACGTCAAGGTCAACGACAACCTCGCATACAGAAACCACCAGCACCATCACAACATCCAGTGCCACCTTGACCAGCTCTACCAGTAGTTCTGGCACCAGCACTTCCAGCACCGTCACCAGATCCAGTTCAACCTCCAGCACTGTGACGGTGTCAACCTCAACAAGCAGTTCTGCCAGCTCCACCTCTTCCACCAGAAGCTTTACGACATCAACCAGCAGCACAGGAACCACTACGACAACAACAGTAGCGGAAGACTTAACAGGCATTCTGCTGCTGGTTTCCGCCTTGGGAGTTGCAATTATGGTTCTTGCGGCTGCTTTACTTGTGTGGTTTTGGCGTTTCAATCGGCCAAGGAAAGTGGTAGTTCCACTAGCATCTTCGTCGCCGCGTCCACCGCCGGCACTCCTGTTGCCACTACCACTCCTCGAGGCTTTCACGAACACACAGCTGCTCATCCCACCCCAGTCTCCCCGTGCACCTCACCCTTCCACATCACATCCACCACTTCCACCACTACCAGACCTATGTCCACCGACCAGCGGCTTGGAGTTTTCCATGACACCTGCCGTGGAAGTGCGTATAGATATACCACAACCGATTCCATATCAGCCTGTAGCATACAGGCGGCCGCCAACACCAGACCTCTACCCGGTTTGTCCACTTGTACAGCGGTTGAGAGAGCTACCATTGCATAGCCCAGTCCAACCATCTCTCCAGACACCAGCTACTGGGTCTCCGGAAAACAGGATGCCAGTCCCAAAACCACCACCTTTGCTGGACGTCAGTCCTCAGATGCTGGTTTCAAGCACCACCCGTTTTGTTTTACCCAGCTTGGTGATGGATGTTCCATGCTTGAACTGGGATGATAGGAACAAGAGGACAGGGTACACGCCAGTCATCTACACATCCATGGATATGACTCCCCAGCTGGAGCGGTTGCCACCATTGACAGTTCTCCTTGCTCCATTTGGCCCACAAGCACACTTGATACGAGGGCCAACTTCTTTGCCACAAGGCCCAGGACTGTCATGTGGAGTCACTCAAAAGCCACGGCCTTTGAGGGTGACACAAGTGCCACCCGAATTCAATGAGCCACCTCCGAACCCTCTACCGGGAATGGTCCGGCCATTCTTCCTGGAACCAGATCCACCACCACGCCCTCCCCTTGCACCACGTCCACCTGCTCCGCCTCACTTCGTTCCACCTGACCCACCTTTGCCTCCTTCTCCTGGGTCTTCGTCAACATGCTCAGATCCTGACAGAAGAGGTGAAAGAGCAAGAGACCGAAGAGACACAGAGCGAGGAGGTGAAAGATGCTGTAGAGCTTCATCAGCTATGTCACGGAGGGATCACCAGAGGGACTGGAGAGACGACTGGAGAGGTGCCTGGCCAGGCGAGAGAAGGGATGACTGGAGGGGTGACCGAAGTGATCGCACTCAACTTTTGGTCACACAAGAGCTTTCTATGTCTCAACATTCTCAACTATCGCCAGCCTCTTCTTCACGTTCCGATCCAGACAGAAGAGCCGAGAGGGCCCGAGATGCCAGACGCTCCAGAGCTACATCAGCTATGGCACGGAGAGAAAACCGGGCAGAGCGGAGAGGCAGTGATCGCACTCCAGGGCCTGGACACTACAACCCACGATATCCCAACAGTTTCGGACGTGTTCCTGCCTTCGCGCAGGCCTCCCCAAGAGTCCGCTAACTCCATCGTACCTCACAAAGAGGGAGACCAAAGAAGTCGTCCGTTTGGGTACACAGGAGACCAAATAGTAGTCCAAACTGCTTTTGTAGTTTGTCAGGATGAACATGTTCTTCGCCTTTGCTGATCCTCAAAGGGGATCGCAAAGTCATAAGCGCAATGCCGCTTTGTCAACCCCGCCAGAATAAATTACTGCTTCTTGTGATGCAGAGGGAGCAACTTAGCTTACTGTCCAACTTTGCTGTTCCACACACCATAGTGATGCGAGTTCGTCCTTGCAACAAGTGAAAGACGTTCAGCATAGTTCAGCTGTTCGATGTGTTTGCTACAATTTCAGCTGTTTGACCATGGGCTGCCCCACTTGTGTTTTTGAATATCTCAGCAACTTTGCCCATCGCGCACCAAGAACAAGAGTCGCCACATGTCTTCAAGTATTGATGTGGTTTTTGGCTGGCTTGGGACGAGCCAAAAGCCAGTCTCACCAGGCCGCCTTCGTTGCTGGAGGGCCACCATCGCCGTCGAGACCCGAGTCAATGAGTTTCAAGCCCAAACATGATATTTCAATGATTGACCTGGTGGGATGTTCGGCATTTGCACAAAGTTGGAGGTCGATTGGGGAACATTTGCTGCACATGTGTGGGGTACAAAGTGCAGCAATGGAGATGGCTTTCAGGCCAGTTCTCTCTCGAAGTTGATTGAAACTTGAGCGAGACTGTTGATATCATTTGGTCTGCTCAAGGGGCATTGATGCCAGCGTGCAATAGTAGAAGAAAGAGGGTTCAGAGTATCCTCAATATCGTACGAATTGAACTTGGAAGTCGATCGCCCGCTCCGCTTGTCTCAGATGTTCGATGTTGGGGTGACAACCCCGCTCCGCCTTGTTTGCTGTGCATGGTCATTGTCGACAGAACGTCACAGCTCTAACCGAGTTCAAGAAAGAGGTGGGTTTGACAACACAACTGGAGTTTCATGCAGGGGAGTTTTTGTTTTTTTACTTTCTCGCTATCTGTGACCCAAGCCACTAGCGTTACTGTCATTGTAGAGAAGGATAGTAGCAAAAATTCGAGGTGTTTTGTGCCACTAAAGAAAAGCAGTTCCTCTGTCTTTGCATTGTGGTTCTTAGGCCATGTTTCCCTCGGCAAGACATTCGACTGCCCAAGATGGTTCAACTATCAGTGCACATCCCTCAGAGACAGGTTGTGCGTAGATGTGCGTAGATTGGACAATGTGTCTTTCTCAATGAGACACTGCATGTAACTTATGTGATTTAAACTTACGGCGTTTCACGTTCTTGGGTTGGATGTTTGTGGACAGCTTGATGCATGCCTCCTTCGAGGTTGTTTCACGGCTCAAAAGTGCCTCAATGATGCTACATTCCAAGGGGTCAGCTTCATGGCATCTCCGCTAGAAGGGCTGTGCCTCTTCAATGGACTCACATCAGTAATTGCTGTGTGGATTCTAGTCGAAGAACAGGGACCCGAACGCTCCGGGCATGTCGCTGCGTGGGATGCAAGAAGCCAACAATTCCTGATTCATGGTGGAAGTGATACAGAATTCAGACCAGATTTGTGGGCGTACGATGTTGAAAGTGGTCCTTGGGATCAGAAGCTGCAACTCAATTCGGCTCCTTCGAAACGTGGAGACCATGTGGCTGTTTGGGATCCAAGTGAACTAGCGTTGTGGATTCATGGTGGTTTTGATGGTGCTACTCTTTTCAACGACCTTTGGAGATATTCGGACAATCGCTGGACCCTCATGGCAGATGGAGCTGGGCTGGCTCCATGTGCTCGAAGCAGTCATGTAGCTGTGTGGGACGCAAGCCGTTCTGCCATGTGGCTTCATGGTGGGCTGAGCAGTGATCTTCAGAGTGATCTTTGGATGTTTGACTACAGAGGATCTTTGAGCTCTTGGGTTCAAATCCCAGGCGGAAATGGGCCTTTGCCTGCAGCACGGGCTCATCATGTGGCTGCATGGGATGACACAAATGCGGCCATGTGGATTCATGGTGGATATGCTAATGGTCGCCCCTTGCAAGCAAAGCAGGCATGCAGCACTAAAGTTGCTAAAGCAGTTCCAGATGAACAAAGACTCCACCAAATCCTCCAACCTAATAGCGATGGCCTCCAACCTACCAGCGGTGACCTCCAACCAAATTTGAATGCATATGATATGTGCGTTTGCAAAGGGGGGGTAGGCCGCTAGGAAGAGACTACTTGCATGCAAGTAGCTACTAGGCTCGAGAGCCGCATAAAAAATATCACGTCAAGCTTCCCATGATTGATTTGGTTCCTAGATGTTCCTAGTTTGTTTCGGGAAATTTAACCTTATGAATGTCCTATGGTGCTCTATGATTGCCTGTCGACAATGCCAGCGTTCAGCATGTTTGACATTCTATGAAAAGCGCAAGTTGAGCGCGGCCACGCAAAAGATCAAAAGCATCGAATCACAATAGGCTTGGCCAGCATTAGGTTCAACGTCCACGATGTGTTTCAGATAAGAGAGAGTCCAGGTAGAGCAGTGAGTGGGCTGAATCCCCACCATGCCACCACATGATTTGTGAATCAGCAGCAACACAGGGAGCATGCAAAAGGAGAGTAATAGGGTGAAATGGTGTTGTCAGATGAGGAGAACAAGTGGGCAGACAATCATAGATTATAGATCATGATGGACAGATTGCTGTGGAGAAGGGACAATGCCTGTGATGTTTTGTTGCTTGGGAAAGTGGGACAGTAGGCATTGGGGGAGCAAAAACTCGAGTTCGTCCATTGAGCTGAGGTTTGTTAACTGACTTGTGGGCCTTTGACACGGCAGAGGAAAAGTTGAGCTGGACTTTGATCTCTGAAGATGGTCCGCAACGAGCTTATCATGTTGCAGCCTGGGACCCCACGAATCAAGCAATTTGGCTTCATGGTGGCTTGGGTGGATTGAATGGTCTGGCGCAACGGGAACTTTGGAGATTCAACATCTTAAGCCACAGTTGGGACTTGATCGCAGACATACCTCCAGAAGAAGGGCCTGTGAGACGCTTCAATCACGCTGCTGCTTGGGATGTCGCCAGTATGTCACTCTGGATACACGGTGGTTATTCTGGAAATATGTGTTTGCACGATTTATGGAGATTCCATGCTACAACAACCTCCACAACCAGGACCATCTCAAGCCTGACTAGTAGTTCCAGCACGATCAGCAGTACCTTCACCTCATCGAGCACATCCACGAGTCGCAGTTCCACAACAACATCGTATACGTTCACATCTACCTCCACTAGGTCTACAAGCAGCACTAGCTCTGCGACAACCACAACCACAAACTCTATTACAGCTACGGCAACGAGTACCACTTCTGCCAGCAGCACCAGTTCTTTTACAACTACATTGTCCAGCTCAACAACCTTTTCCAGTACTGGCACAAGGACCAGTACGACCACATTCAGCACCACGGTGTCTAGCACCAGTTCTTTCACAACTACGACGTCTAGGTCGAGCACCACCTCAGGCACCATCACCACTACCAGCTCTGTCACAACTACAATCTCTAGCTCAAGCACCACCTCAGGCACCATCACC